TGAGAGACTCAGAGGAGCAAGCCACCACATGTGGACTACTTTTGGTATTTTGTAGAGATAGCATCTCTGTATTATTGCCCAGGGGCTGGTCTCAAACTCTGGGCTCAGCGATCCTCCAGCTATGGCCTCCCTAAGTGCTGCGATCACAGCACTACGGCTAGCATGACTGGCCTATTTATTTTTATTTTTAATTTCTTTATTTTTTTGAGACAGAGTCCCTTCGCTCTGTTTGCCCAGGCCTTCTGAGTGCAGTCATAGAGCGATCTGGCTCACTGCAACTCCAACTCCTGGGTTTCGTGATTCTCCTGCCTCAGCCCCCTGAGTACCTGGGATTACAGGCACACACCACCACGCCTAAGTTTTGTAGTTTTAGCAGAGATGGAGTTTCACCATGTTGGTCAGGCCAGTCTCGAACTCCTGACCTCAAGTGATCTGCCCACCTTGGCCTCCCAAAGTACTGGGATTACAGGCGTGAGCCACTGTGCCCAGCTGTATTTTAATTTTTATGATTTATTTGTATTTGTAGAGGAGGAGTCTTGCTATGTTGCCCAGGCTGTTCTCCAACTCCTGAGCTCAAGCAATCCTCCTGCCTGAGCCTCCCAAAGTGCTGGGATTACAGGTGTGAGCACTGCAACTGGCCTACGTTACTGTTTTAAGAGCAAGAAGTAAACTCCATTCACTCAGTATCATTACACATCTTGCGTCTCTGTTACAGAATCGGCATCTCTAACTATAAACCTGTCAAGGTTCCTGCTGGTTTTCTTTTTTTTTTTTTTTTTTTTGAGACGGGGGTCTTGCTACGTTTTTCCCAGGCTGGTTTTGAACTCCTGGCCTCAAGCAATCTTCCCACCTTCTCCTCCCAAAGTGCTAGGATTGCAGGCATGAGCCACTGAGTTCGGTCAAATGCTGTGTTCTAAAGCAAGTTGCTTAATCTCCTCTGCCTCACAAATAGAAATAACAGTACATTGTATCATAAGAATTAAATCGATGACACAGAAAAATCCCTAAGTACAGGGTACAGAGCAAAGGCAATAAATTGAGTGATTATCTCGTCCCTTTCCTGTTTTCAAACTTGAAATCATTGGTTTCCTACTCCCTCTAGCACTGCCATCGATTGAGCGCCTCTCATATGCGACACAAGCAAGGAACGGTGTGCTGGAGTGGCGTTTCCAGCGCATTGTTGCTTGAGTTGTATTTCCAGCGCGTCGTTGCTCAAGCTCCGTTTCCAGCGCATATCTTTGCTTGTCTGGCATATGAGCTGCGGTGCAGGGTTTCAAAGCCATAGTTCACAACTTTCCTAATCTGGCCCCACCGAAAGCACCCTGGTCCATCAAGCAGGATGCATAGGTGAGCCATGTGGTGAAGGCCAGGTCTGGTCCCTTTTCATAGGCCCGACGGGTGCAGTGAGCCCTTCTTGCCCTCTTCTTCCTGGATGCCATCCTCTGGCCACCCCAGCCTCCAGCTGAACCCACCTCCAGCCTTCTCTCTTCCTCCATTGTTTATTTATTGAGACAGGGTCTCGCTCTGTCCCCCGGCTGGAGTGCAGTGGTGCGATCTCGGCTCACTGCCACCTCCGCCTCCCGGGTTCAAGTTATTCTTCTGCGTTAGCCTCCCAAGTAACTGGGATTACAGGGGCCCGCCACCACTCCTGGCTAATTTTTGTATTTTCAGTAGAGACGGGGTTTCACCATGTTGGTCAGGCTAATCTCGAACTCCTAACCTCAGGTGATCCTCCTACCTCGGCCTCCCAAAAGTGCTGGGATTACAGGCCTGAGCCACCGCGCCCGGCCAAGCTTTCTCTCTTCCTTCAAACACTACCTTGCTCCTTCACACGCCCGACCACTGTCTCAGCGAAGCCGCCCCTGGGTCACCTAGCCCAAGCTGCTCTCACCTCTAAATTTAAAGGGGCCTTTACTACGAGGTTTACGGTCCTCTGTCAGTGACCTACAAATAAGTGAACTACAAATCAAGCCAATTTCGTTTCTCAGTGCGTGTTTCCTAATGTTTCCTCTGTTCTCTCCTCTCTTAAGGAGAGGCCATCTCTCTCCCGTGTCTACGGTGAGGCGGGAAGAACGGGCTCCCTGCACTGGTCGGCCCGGCCTAGGCCCTCCTCGCCCATCACGCACGTGCGCGGCTCCTGGGAGGCCGCGTTAGTCCGGCCGGCCGGGAAGGAGCAGGACCCGGTCGCCACCGCTGTCCCGGCTACGCATGACCGCGGCCTGGGGCGCTCACCTCGCTCCAGGAGCCCGGAGACCTCGCCGGGCTCCAGCGAGGTGTTGCAGGGCTCTCCGCGTCCCAGATCCCGCTCTGGTCTCCAGGCAACCGCGGACGCCTCCTGGCCCGCCCTGTGCTCTTAAAGGGGCCGCGCGCCAGCGCCAAGCAGGTGTCCCGCCCTTGCTGGTCCTGAAGGCCAGGGGGAAAGGCTGGGCGCTGGAGGCAGCAGGCCAAGGGTTTCCCAGCTCTGCTAACTGCTTCATCATAAAATAGGAATAACGCAGGCATTAGTTTTTCCATTGCTGCTGTAAACAAATTACCATAAATTTAGTGGCTTGAAGCAACACAAATTTATTATCCTACAGTCTGTAAACTAGGCCCACAGTGCTGGTTCCTTCCAGAGGTTCCGGTGAAGCATCCGTTTCCTTGCCTTTTCCAGCTTTTCCAGAAGCGGTCCCCAACCTTTTTGGCACCAGAGACTGGTTTCGCAGAAGACAGTTTTTCCACGGATGGGGGTAGGGGGTGGTTTCAGGATGATTCAAGCGCGCTGCATTTACTATGCATTTTATTTCTATTATTATTACACTGTAATATATAAGTAAATAATTCTACAACTCACCATCATAGACTCAGTGGGAGCCTGAGCTTGTTTTCCTGCAACTAGACGGTCCCATCTGGGGGTGACGGGAGACAGTGACAGATCATCAGGCATCAGATTCTCATAAGGAGTGTGCAGCCTACATCCCTCGCGTGTACAGTTCACAATAGGGTTTGTGCTCCTACAAGAATCTAATGCCCACCGCTGATACGACAGGAGGTGGCGCTCAGGTGGTAACACCAGCCATGGGGACTGGATCTAAATACAGATGAAGTTTCGCTGGCTTGCCCGCCCCTAACCTGCTGTGCACCCTGGTTCCCAACAGGCCATGGACCACTACTGGTCTGTGGCTGGAGTGCTGGAATCCCTGTTCCAGAGGCTGCTTGCAATCCTTGACTAGTGGTACCTCCTTCCATCTCCAAAACCAGCAAGGCAGCTTCTCTCTGGCCAGCAGGGAAAGGTCTCCACCTTCGAAGGACTCACCCAATGGACTGGGCCCACCCAGACAATCCAGGATAATCTCTCTACTGCAAGATCCTTAACTCGGCCAGGCAGTATGGCTCACACCTGTCATCTCAGCACGTTGGGAGGCCGGGGCAGGTGGATCACCTGAGGTCAGGAGTTCGAGACCAGCCTGGCCAGCATGCAACATGGTGAAACCCTGTCTCTACTAAAAATACAAAAATTAGTCGGCTGTGGTTGTGGGCACCTGTAATCCCAGCTACTCTGGAGGCTGAGGTGGGAGAATCACTTGAACCTGGGAGGCAGAGGCTGCAGTGAGCTGAGATCAGGCTATTGTACTCCAGCCTGGGCAACAGGAGTGAAACTTCAAAAAAAAAAAAAAAAAAATCTTCACTCAATCACACCTGCCGAGTCCCTTCTGCCATGTGAGGCAGCCTGGTCACAGGTTCTGGGGATTAGGACACAGCTGTCTTGGGGGCTATTATCCTGCCACAGCTGCCAGTCTGCAGAGTTCGTAAGTGGGATCCTGCAGACGCCAGCACAGTGCCAGACACGATGGCACAGTTACTACTGTACTGCCTCCTCCATCCAGGAGCCCTCTCTTCCTTGAAGCCCAATCTGGGGAAGGGGTGGGGCAGCAGGGGAGTCACATCCGTCCTCATTGGGCCCCCAAGAGGACATCTTTACTTCCATTTTCAGCCCAAACAGGACAAGGTTCCATGAAAACGACTTGAAAAGACAGACAGGGATTCTTATATTCCCAGAACCACTCAAGGCCAGTAACTGGAATGTTCTACAGTTCACACCCTGAGGAAACCAAATCACAGCATCAAATTACGGGAAAATCAAACTCTTTTTGTTCCCCTGCGAGGACAGCACTTTGCTACCTTGGCCGCACAGAGGAATGTTTAAAAATAGTGACCCCTGTCCCATCCAGTCATTGTCTTCCAGCCGGGCAGAGAATCCCCCTTGTTTAAAAATGTAATGTGAATCAGGACTGAGAATCACTAACCCAAAAGGACCCTAATTTTAAATTTATGAAATTAAAGAAGAATTTAATTATTAAGGGTTGAAAGTTATAGATTAAACTATGTCCAGCCAGAGCAGAGGGCTGAGTGACTTCCACAGCGGTTTGTTTTGTTTTGAGACGGAGTCTTGTTCTATCCCCCAGGGTAGAGTACAATGGCGCGATCTCGGCTCACTACAACCTCCGTCTCCATGGTTCAAGAGATTCTCCTGCCTCAGCCTCCCAAGTAGCTGGGATTACAGGCATGCGCCACCACGCCTGGCTAATTTTGCATTTTTAGTAGAGGCGGGGTTTCTCCATGTTAGTCAGGCTGGTCTCGAACTCCCGACCTCAGGTGATCCGCCTGCCTCAGCCTCCCAAAGTGCTGGGATCACAGGCATGAGCCACCACGCCCAGCCCAAGTGTTCTTATTTTTATAAAATATGTTCTTGCCTGGACACACAGACACACACACACACACGAGCGCATGCAAACAGAGAAAAAAAAAATTTTTGCAAGTAGCGCTCCATCTGGTCTGAAAAGGTTCTCAAGATCACTTTTAAATGGGTCTGATGTGTATTTTTTTTAAGTAGCAGGTTCATTTGAAAACAAAAAAGGTTAGTGAAGACCCTGTCTTTCAAAACATAAAAATCTGCAATAAAACCGATGATTCCATACAGTGACTACTGTCAGTTCTGCGAAATGACACCCAGGTTGGCTATGTGTCTCATGGTTGGCCTTCCATGGGGACAGTTCCAGGGGTGGTCCATCTCCCCCATGTGGGTGATCAGTTTCTTCATCTCGCTTGTGTTAAGAGCAGTTCCAATCATCACCTGAGGACCAGACACAATGGTTCAACGTTTTAATAGGTTTTTTTGACATCAGAATGGCAGCTTTTCAGAAGCACTGTTGTCTAAAATGAGACTGGACAAGATTACAGCTCAAAAAAACCACCTTCCCTGAAAAACCTTCCCCCAGAGAAGCCTAGGTTCTAGATCTCAGCCCTCCACCTTTCTGTGACATCAGGTCCCTTGTGGCTGCTTCGAGGTGGCACTGCCTCCACTCGACGCGACCACACCTGTCCCGAACGCAGCCACTCTCAGCGGCCACCCTGCCCTCTCACCCTGGCAGGTGCAGCAGCCTCCCGGCTGGGCTCCCCGCCCCACTGCGAGCCCTCCGAGCCGCTCTCCACCCAGCAGCCAGTGATTACGTCTAAAGCGCTGTCAGGTCATGTCGTTCCGCTCCACAGCTTTCCCCTCACCTGAATAAAAGCCCCCGTCTGTCCCTGACTTGGCCCTCACTGGGCTGTGCCTGCACCCCCACCTCCAAGCACGAATGCCTCCCTTCCTCACCCCAGCTGCACTGCTACTCCCTTCTTCTTGCCGGGACCCTCTCCCCCAGTGGGTGCAGGCGTCACTCCCCCTCTGTTGAGCTCCACCCTGCTGCCCTGGCAGGGTACTCCAGCCCTGGCCCTGCTGCCTCCCTGCCATGGGTCCTCTGACAGGAAGGAGAGGAGACAAGCCTGAAGCGCTCTGTCGCCTCCCTTCTTCCTGTAGCACCGAGGGCTCGCCATGTGCCAAGCACAGTCGGAAAGCGGGACAGCAGTGACAGCAGTGACGGCAGGGTTCCACCAGGTCGGAGGAGAACAGATAATCAACAAGTCAACAGAGAACCAAGACAGATGGCGCCCAGGAGAGGGGGCCTGCTCAGGTGTGGGGAGGGGGTGAAGGGTGAAGGTGGCAAACCCAGGTGGAGAGGAGCGTAGGGAGAACAGGTGTAAGGCGGGGAGGAGACTGGGCGAGTGTGGAACTGGAAGGCGGCTACATGGCTGGAAGCGTGGTGGGGAGGATATGGGGCTGGAAGGGTGGGCAGGGCTCAGAGCAGGGGCCTCGTGGGCAGGCAGTGACAACACTGGAGACGGAGGAGTAGGCCAGGGCGGGAGGGAAGCAGCAGCCTGTGGTTCCCCGGGCCCCGAGTCACACTAAAAACTCAGGACGTCAAAACTGACCAGCTATGAGCTCAGCGCCACACTCTCACTCACAGATGCCAAGACTGGAAGGTCCATATTAGGTCTTGTTTTTTTTTTGCGAGGCAGGGGGTGGTGAGGAGACTATCTCCCAGGCTGGAGTGCAGCGGTGTGATCTCGGCTCACTGCACCTCCGCCTCCATGATTCAAGCAATTCTCCTGCTTCCGCCTCCCGAGTAGCTGGGATTACAGGCGCCCGCCACCACACCCAGCTAATTTTTGTACACTGAGTTGGGGTAGGGTTTCACCATGTTGGCCAGGCTGGTTTCAAATTCCTGACCCCAGGTAATCAACCCACTTCCACCTTCCAAAGTGCTGGGATTACAGGTGTGAGTCACTACACCCAGCCCATATTAGGTCTTTATCAAAGCAACACTGTGGCTAGAACTCAGACTCTGGGCCCTCTTCTAATTAAACTCTGCCTTTGAGTCATTTCATCTAATCTCATGGCTGTAAATTACACCTGATGCTCCCACAGCAGGCTCCATCCCACCCACTCCCCACGTGGCCCCCAGCTGCTGCTCTCCCCAGCTGCCCCAGTGTAAGGCACCCCCTTCCAGTCTGTTCTCTCTCCAGCAGCTGCAATCATGGGACTCCTAGTCCGTTCTCTCCAGTGGCTCCCGCCACACACAGCACAGACCCCAGGGTCTAGGCATGACCGGCAATGCTTTACGTGGCTGTCCTCTGGTCGCCGTTCTGCTTACTCCCTTCCCCTCTCCAGGGACACAATCGGCCTCTGGCTTCAGTCTTCCTACTTCCTCCACTTGGAAAGTTCTTACCCAAGAGGGCTCCAGCCTCAGCCTACCTTTTTTTTCTTTGAGACAAGGTCTTACTTCTGTCACCCAGGCTGGAGTACAGTTGTGTGATCTTGGCTCATTGCAACCTCAACCTCCCTGGCTCAAGTGATCCTCCCACCTCAGCCTCCTGAGTAGCTGCTGACTGCAGGCACCCGCCACCACCGCCTGGCTAATCTTTTAATTTCCCCACCTTTTAGATGGCAGCTGAGATGCCACCTGCCCAGATGCCGATTCCCTGACCACCATACTCAACCTGGTCACCATTGTTCTCTGTAAGTTATCCCTGTCCCAAAAAGCCTGTTTAGGCTGGGCGTGGTGGCTCACGCCTGTAAATCCAGCACTTTGGGAGGCCTAGGCGGGCGGTCACGAGGTCAGGAGATCAAGACCAGCCTGACCAACATGGTGAAACCAGTCTCTATTAAAAATATAAAAATTAGCCAGGTGGTGATGGCACGTTGCCGAGTCCCAGCTACTCTGGAGGCTGAGGCAGGCGAATCGCTTGAACCCGGGAAGTGGAGGTTGGGCAGTGAGCTGAGATCACACCACCGCACTCCAGCCTGTTAGCAGAGCAAGACTCTGTCTCAAAAACAAACCAACAAAACAAAAAGCGCTGTTTGAATCTGTTGGCTGTGCTCACTGGCATCTAAATGGGTGTCGTTTTATTTGGTGATGTCTGTTTCTCCCCACTGTCCGCCTTCCACAGGGGAAGGGGCTGCAGTCCGCCTTGTTACCCTATGTGCCCCAGCACTGGAGCAGGGCGGTCCACAGCAGGGGCTCAAGGAGCATCTGCTGAATAAATCAACGAATGGCATCCTGGCCTTTCCAAATGGCCAGGCTGATACAGAGTCACTTTTCTTGGACATCAAGCTACTCCCACTCAGGCGTAGCCCCCTGCTACCACCTCCAAACACCAACCAGAGCAGCGGCAGTGGTGCCACGTGCAACGACACCACAGCACCCCGTGAGCACCCGCTGCCTTGATGACTCTGCAAGAACCTTGTCTAACGCCCCGATCCTGGCAGCAGCAAATCTTTATCTACCAGTGTTGTTAGGACCCCTAAGGTCCATAGACGAACAAGCTGCCTCAACCACTAACGTGCGTTGGAGTCAACGAAAGCTCTGAGATAGAATACTGGCCGGGCAACGTGGGCTCATGCCTGTAATTCCAGCACTTTGGAGGCTGAGGCAAGGGCAAAAGGAGACCATGTTTCTACAGAAAATTAAACATTAGCGGGCATGGTGATACGTGCCTGTAGTCACAGTTACTCCGGAAGACAGAGGCAGGAGGATCGCTTCAGCCCTGGGAGGTCAAGGCTACAGTGAGCTGTGAATGTGGCACTACCACCCCAGCCTGGGCGACAGAGGAGATCCCCATCTAAAAAAAAAAAAAAATACTGTTTTTTTTTTTCTTTGAGATGGAGTCTCACTCTGTCGCCCAGGTTGAGTGGCAGTGGGTGAACTCGGCCTCACTGCAAAGCTCCGCCTCCCCGGGTTCTCACCACTCTCCCTGCCTCAGCCTCCCGAGTAGCTGGACTACAAGTGCGACACCAACGCCGGCTAATTTTTTCGTATTTTTTTGGTAGAGAACGGGGTTTCACCGTGTTAGCCAGGATGGTCTTGATCTCCTGAACCGTGATCCTCCGCCTCGGCCTCCCAAAGTGCTGGGATTAGAGCTTGAGCCACCGTGCCCGGCCAGGAATACTGTTTAAACTGAAGTAACAAAAAAGCAATAAGTATGAGTTCAAGGTCCCAGAGAATGCAGACTACATAGATGCCCAGCTATGATGTTCCACGTAGCTCTGTGTAAAATGACCCCTGGCAATCACAAGGCGTTTAACAGCCTTGACCAATACAGGAGCTGGGCTGAGACCTTCCCTCAGACGCAAGCCTGGAGCAGCTGAGCTGACAGCCGGGCTTTCTTTACCACCCGACTTTTCCGACAGGGCTCTGGAGGCAAACATCCTTGACTCGGGACGGCCGGCACCACATGACCCCGGGCTG